ATATCTATACCATTGTAAAAGGCAAAGAACAAATGTTACTTCTCAATTATTTTGATAGAAAGAATCGATTATACCTCCCAAAGAGCTCGTTCTTATTGATGAAAACATTCATCGAATCTTGTTGCCAATAAAATAAATAGATATAAGTCAATGGAATAGTCAACGGTAAGCCAGAAGCACCACCTATTCTTTGTCGATACAAGTTTTTTCCCAAAACGCAATATTGATTTTCGAGAACGAGACGAACAAGCTGAACAATTGTATCAATAGTCATGCCTTGAATTAAATGATCGAATGCATACGAGTGTAGGAATCGTTCTAATGCAACGACAGCATGATCATGAGAAAACCTGGTACATAGATCATCGATATTGAATGATGCAAATAAAGTTGTTGGTCGTAGATGTCCACTTTGAGAATAATATTCGAGAGCCTGTATGACATCAATTGATTTAGAAAATAATTTGCAATGAGTTGCCTCATTAAAAAGTAATCCAAGTAGATGACCCACATAACGAGCAATACCGATCGTCGGCCCATCGTTGCATACTACGATTGGTTGAATTGGATATTCTTCCTGTAGTACCAATAATATTAAATAAATCATAAAAATAAATAAATGAAGAATATTACTTACGTTACGTGTATCTACAGTGAAATATAGATAATTCAATCGTACTGATGATCGATTAATACTCATTCGTGAATGTTGTTGTTTAGTTAAACGTTGAGAATGCAGTAAATTGTCCAACGTTGTTTGAACTTGATCCACAACATCAACTAAACATTTTTTACTAGCATCTGTATATGGATCGACTAGTTTGTTTATCAACGAATAGATGCCTGTTTTTGTCATAAAATCAGATACTTTTTGTTGGTATTCATTGTTTTTACACAAATGAAATCCATTGTTTTTGTAAAGTGGTCTTAGAATACAATTTTGTTGAGCTAAACGATTTTTAATATTTAGAATTTGCTCTTTCGTTTCACGAGTTTTTTGTCGATCATAAAGACTCATAGGTCCCTGGTCCATAGAATGAATGAACGTTGGAACATCGCACCAATCAAGATTCTTGAAATCGAATGTTTCTCTATGATGTTCTGATAGTTTTTTGTCACCAGTGTTGTCATCATCAGACGAAGAGGAGTCATCATCTTCATTGACTTCATACATTTTTTCAAAAGTATCGCCTTGATTCGAATAACGTTTGACTTCTAGTGATTCATCTTCCGATGATGAAATTGCACGTTTAACGGATTCATTCCTTGAATTATCCATTTGAAATAATTAGAAATAGTTAAGGATGCTTGCTTATAATATCTACAAAAAAAAGGGATAAAGATGTAGATCATATTCAATATTAAATTATAAAGCATTTCTTATGTTATAAGCAATGATGTTTGTTGGAAAATAAAATAATTGAAACTGTTTCAGAGCTACCAGAAACAGAACGTTAGAGCACGATGAATCAATGCTCCATGTTTATTGTTCTAATAATTAAAATACTAATGTGGTATTTACGAGAAACAGTTCTATCAAAATGAAAAACAAGACAGGAAAGAAATTTTAATACATAAATTGTTAACAAGAGCCTTGTATTGATTCGGGTCGATTTCTTTTTCGTGTTTAATTTTCTAAGTATCAGAATCATCGTTCGACTAAGTAGATTTATAAAAGTATTCGTCTTTTCCTAGAATGTCATAACTATATGTTCAAATGAAATTCGATATCATTCGAATACTTGCCAAGTCTGTATATGTATGCATGTAGACTCCAGAAATCATCTTTTATGCCTTGTGATTCATTTGTACTCGTGATTCGGTTTAATGAACCCTCAGAGGAGCCAGGATTGAGAAGCACGATTGCAGGCTGACAAACATTGATTTTCGTTGGATAACCACGATTGTAGACGGTCTGTTAATGAAATAAATTGACTGATGAGTAGAAAAACAAAATACAACATAAAAATGATGACTTACATCAACTAGGCCACTCTGAGTAAAAAGTAGCTTTTTATCTGGATAACCTCGTCTTTCAAAATTATCCCATGATACATTTTCATAGATGGTATACCGTGCATAGGGATTGAAATGATCGGAAGACCATGCACCAGAGAAATAATTATTTAGGCCTGGTATAGACTTAGCAAATGATGTTTTCCCTTCATATTTTTGAAGGTAAAATGAAATGAAGAATAATTGATAACTATTGATCTACCTGTATTTGCTGGTCCAATTAAAATAAGACATTTAGCTTGACTTTGACGAGGCAACTCTTCTTGAATCCATCGATCGACAAATTGTCCTAAGATAGAAACTCGATGACTCGTTTTGATATTGTTTCATGGCAAAACATACGTAGTGCTGATGTACAATCGGGAAATGATGTTGGCCATGTAAACTCATCTCTGAGTTGACCACTCACATAGGCGTCTCGTTGAGTTTGATGACGCATGTCCAAAAAGATTGTATAGTATCTAAGCATTTGTAGAAACAAAATAACAAAAATATCTGGAGCATCGGTTGACAACTAGTTCCTAGGAAACGATACTAACTCTCCAGCACGTTTGAGATATTCATTTGGTAGTTGTAGAAAAAGTTGTTCCATCGCTTCATTGACATTTACTTTTGCTATTCGAAGAAGCTTTTGAAAAAGTTTCATGTCTTTAACAAATGCTCTTCGTTCACTTAAATGCTGTAAATCCTCGTTATTCATTCGAATTGAATTGTTTGAAAATATTGGATGAAGATGAAGAAGGTCTATCTAGAATAAATAACAAAAGCGTGTAATAATATTAGAACTAAAACAAAACAGTAACAACTACAGAACACACAAAGCTAATTCTATTTAAGCAATTTTATTGCAAGAAAACAAATCACAGTTCTATGAATCATGATCTGACTATTTTGATTTTTCTCTATCAGGTTTTTCATAGACCACGACATCGACACCAGGAAATGTCGACGATGGAACGAGGGCAGCTGTTGTTCTTCCTGCTGTATATGGGATATACGATGATGATATTGATGTTGACGGCGACATATTTGTATCTAAATCTTGCATGCTTGATGCTGATGAATCCGAAGACATACTCGATGATTGTCCCATGTTGATATCTATGTAAAAATTCGTTCATACAGATCGATTCATCAAGCATTGAATGTCTTACTTGTTGTTATATGAGTGATAGACTCGATACAAATCAGTGAAGAAAAAGACTCTTGTCTTGAAATAATAGTGTATGAATGTATCTACAAATAATAATATTTGGCACTGAAGAAAAATAGATTAAAGGTGAATGTGTTCGACATTCCTTAACAATTTTATTGAAATTATGATTAAGAGAGAATCTGAAAGTTATCAGGAGGGTTGTATCAAAATAGGGGTCAATATTCGAAGAAACAAATCTGAACATGGTAGCATGGAATCTTCTTTAGATCTATAGAAGATATAGACTTTTATGTAGTATTTCCTGCTTTGTAATGCATCGATATTTAACCAATTGTTGATAGAACGAATAGATGATACTAAAATAGATAAATTAGAACAGTGAGAAATAACTTTATTTTCTCTAATATAATCTTATGTGTTACCTTCATTTATACTTATACTGAACGTTTAATTTCAATTGATTCATATTCATCTAGAAGGAACAAATGGAAATAGGATTAAGCTGTATTGAATAATAATGAATAAATGAATAAATGAATGAAAGAAGAAAAGAAGAAAAGTCATACATATGTTTAGCAGAACAATGTATGAATATTGAAATTTGGTTAATAAAAAGTCTGCAAGATGACACTCATATGAGGAAAAATTCATATCGAGTCTGTTCAATTTTGACGATAGATTAGTTGATATTTGTTAAACCAAGGTGGTAATCGAAGGATCTTGGGCAATGGTCAATACTACACGATACATTGGCATATTCTCTGGTTTGATAGTCCAACTGAAGTAACTCTTGTAAGGTTGTCGTCGACTAGGTCGAGCTAGAAAGTCATGAATTAACCGTTCGATAATATCAGTTAGTTCATCTTCTTCGTCAATTTCCGTTTTTCGACTCGGGTCCGTTGGTGATGCATCTGTATTACAACCAATGGACCTTTCTGTAGTACGTTGAGTTCGAACAATATTCGAGTTTGTTGGTCGATTACGCGTAATTGCTATCAATGGAATTGAAGGATTATTTGACGATGACATCGTTGTTGTTCAATGTAAAATGACCTGTCTACAATAGAAATTATTAACACAAATCAATATTTGTCAGTATTCTATGATAATAATAATAAAGATTAAGATTTGTTTTCAAGTTACACTTAAATGATATCTGTATACACGATAACAAAAAAAAAAAGAAACATCATCTAAAACAAAACAAAAGTACACAGCCACATGATCGTTCGTTTGAATGAACATGATGCATAAGAAACGAATTAGGAATAGGTTAGAATGTGAGAAAAGAATATTCGAAAGAACTCATCTTAGACATCCATATATCCATTGTTGATATTCATGGATAAGTTTCTCAATGGACTTCGTTGTTACCAAGAGTTCGATGTTGAGGTTTCAAAAAGTACTCATGTGGTCCTAGAATCCATAAAATGAAATATTGGAAATGAATAATCAAAGAGCTTCTATATATATATATATAACGGAAAAATTGTTTTTACCCATAATATAGACACAAGCATTTTGTTTCCAATAGTCAGCTAATTGTCGTTCATGATCAGTGACTGGTATTGTTAGTAAAGAACCTGCCTCTTCAGGTTTCAAAAGAACAATGGCTGGTTGTCGAACATTAATTTGTATTGTTGATCGCCATCTATTGGTTGCCTAGATATATATATATATATATATATATATATATATACATATTTATATAGAAGAATACAAAGCAACTGTCATTTACTTACAAGTATCTTTCCAGATTGCGTTAGAAGTTGCTCTTTATTTGGATAATTGAACTCATAGAATTCATCCCATGGAATATTTTCATAGACAGAATAACGAGCATAATCACTCCAATTGTCTGAATTCCATTGTCCTTGAAAATAATTAACACGTCCAGGTAAGGAAAGAGCGAACGATGTCTTGCCAGTATCAGGAAGTCCGATGAGTATGAGACATTTGGCTTGTTTAACACGACTGAATTGATGTCGAATCCACCGATGTATGATTTCTCCTATAGGATAGATTTCATTCATGAGAATTCAAACGACAAACATTTTCATCCATGATACATACGTAGTCGATTTGTACACTCAGGAAATGAAACAGGCCATAAATATTCTTTATTAATATTACCTTCTAGATCGGCTTCCATTTCTGCCCGTAAATGAATATATTTGAGTATTTCTAAATACCTTCAAAAGAATGAAAAAGGAAAAAATAGATAAATTCATAGATAACTATTTCAATTCTTTCTTACCAAGAGCTACTCTGAAGGAATAACATTGGTATTGAATAACGAATAAAATCTATGGCACTATCAATACTAGTCTCTGCTATTTTAAAAGCTTGTTGTGCTATTGTATTTTCACATCGACGTCTTTCTTCTTCGTCTGATTTGGTAGTTGTTGTTGCTTTTGGCATGTGCTGTTGATGGTGAATGACTGGAGTAGAAGCTGGCAACTTTGCCAACCATGACGATGACAACACAGTTGACCATTGTTTTTGTTTACACGATCTTGTAGATTTAAATGTACCATATTCAATGAAATTCAAGGCTCGCTTAATATATTCATTCCATGCGCAAGCATGATGTGTGACTTGATAGTTACAAAATGTTCGAGTAATCAAATCAAGAAAGCGGTTTTTCCTACAGATTTTTTTTTTAAAAATAATTTGTATCAGTAAATATCGTTGATGATTAAATTCATTGATATCTTCACCAACACAAATATATTGAATATTATGAATACCAAATACTTGTATAATTTTATCCTTTACTCTCTCTTTCGATACATTTGTGCATGACGTAATAGCAAACATTTTACTTTCCAATCGAAATGGTCGTTCATCTGAATTTGTTGATTGCAATTGAAAGTGAAATACTTTAGCAATAGTTGCTCGATTTAAATGATAATACTCGGCATATGGACGATCATGTTCAGCAATAGGACCTGTTTGGTTGATAGGTGGATAAGGATAATAAAAATTGGTTAAAGATGATGTGTGACGTTGCTCTTGAATTTCATCACAGTGATGATGATTATTATTGTTAATTTCTGTGATGCCATCTACCAAAAGATTTAGTTGTTGCATCATTAAAGTAGCAAAAGTATCAGCCATCGGTTGAGTATTTCGTATTACTTGAAAAAGCTGTTGCATATCGTATTCTCGTTCATAATTGAGAACTATTTGATGAAATGATTCGTCATCCATTTTAGTTTCGTCCTCATTCTCAGAATTGTTATATTCTGTTACTGGGGCATGTCCAAACGAGTATATTGGTGTATTCATCGGTGATATCAAATTTAAATCGATGGTCTATTTATGTTTTGATAAAAAGAAAGAAGAAGAAGAAGTAGGAAATATATTCGTTTCAAGATTATAATAAAGATATATATATATATATATATGTAAAGATCATACTAAAGGTATTGTAGCTGGATGGGTGAACATTAGGTCATCAGTCATTGTATTGAACGATATCAATTGTTCTGATTCATTATCCATCGAAGTAAAATCCATAAATGGTGTCAGTAGTAGATACTGTCGTATTGAAATGCAAATTATATATATATATATTCTAGTATTGTAACTATTCAATGAAGAATAATATTTATCTATATTTTCATAGAATAAAATAATCTATTGTTGTCGCAGTGAACTATTCGAAATATCTAGAAGAAAGAGGAGAATAATAATAATCTTTATCGTAAAAAGGTAGACTTTCTATGTTGGTGATAGATTAATGAATAAACTAAACCAATACAAGTTTATATAGGACAAATTTTAAATTTTGTTTTGTAAAATGATAATAAACGAAAAACATAAAAACATATTTCTTAAATAAGTTTCTTACTTGAAACATGTCTATTTGTAGAATAGACTAATGAAATAATGCTAAACGTTCAACCATAAATAGATATTCTAAATGCGGATGATTAAATGAAGTATCATCTTCGCAAGAATATATATCTTCATTATTAAGGATAATATGCTTTTCATAATAGAGTTTTGTTTCATTCTTCTCATCACCACCATAAGAATCATTCGCATTGTTGATACTATTTTCATCAAACGTTTTTTCAGTTTCATCTTGATCTGAATCTTCATCGTCTTGTATATTATAACTTTTAAAATCGCCATCGTCAATGAATTGAGCTCTTTGATTAAATTGTATATTTTGGAAAAGATTTGTTTGATACGTGTTGGTTTCATTTTTAATCATCGTATTCCAAATGGATTGATCGTAGAAAACTAATCTAGAATAAAACAATAAGAGATGAATACCTGCAAGAATGGCTATGCTAATAATTGTATTTATTTATTGAAGAAGTGAATATGAATGAAAAGAAGAATATCTAAGTTCATAACTTTAGTCGAGTATCCTTGATTTTTAGGGATCATTTGTTGGAGGATTGATGACAATGATGGAAGTAAATAAACTTGATGGATTGTCATCAACACACCAGCGTAGAACTCGACAATGTAAATAGTGTCGACGAGGTTCTTGCATGTATTCACATATCAATTGTTCGATTTTATCAAACAATTCTTGTGTAGCATTTTCTTCAGAATCAATTGAAGCTTGCGACATTCCGGTTGCCCAAGATGCAAATGGTACTGGTTGTGATGTACCCATTCGGACGTTATGATTCTGTCGTTGAGGAATATTATTTGCGGTCGATGGTGGTGTTAAATCAGTTGATTCATGATTGAATTCATTTTGTTGAGAATTGTTTGGATCCATGAATAATAATAATAATATCTGTGAAACAAATGTTCAATAATTAGTACGTCTACGAAGAAAATGGAAGAAAATCTAAAATACAAAGAAAAGAAAAACAACTATTTAGTTACAGATTGATACACAAATAAGTACATTTCATCAAAAGTAAGATTAGACACTACAAGTAAGTCTATTTGTCACAACCTATTTATCTACCAAATCATCGTCATCAAGCCCTATAAACGTTTTTACAGTAGTCGTATGACTTGATGAGGATGTTAAAAAAATTAGATCATTTTCTTCCGTATCGATATGACCAGCTTGATCATCGTCATCATTCGATTCATATTCCATTGTATCATGATCGTTTTCTATGCTATTGTCTTGAGTCGCGTTTAAAACTGAAGTATCATGAGTAAGATTATTATCATTCTCATCTGGTATTTCAATATAAATCACATTAAAATTATATGGCATAGCTGGTCTTCTTGGACTTGACGGAGGTGAAATTATACCACCATTATCATTACCAATAATATTACAATAATTATCATCGTCATCATCATATGGTATCACTATTTAAAAACAAATATTTATATATCTGATTTAAGGCCAAATCAAACTATTTTTAAATGAATTTTCTTACTATGATCATATGGATATGCTAGTATATCATCATAAACAAGATCATCGATGTTGTATATCATAGACATTAGAAAAGGGGTGAAATGATCTGAAAAGACAAGATATTAATGATGAAATTCATCTTTCATTTTTTTTCTCGTAAAATTTTCAAAACGACAACCTAAGGTTTTCTAATGATAGAACTGAGACTAATAGATAAAGCTAACAAAAAAAGGAAAAAAAAGGATCCTAATGAATAAGTTGATTTCTTTGAAATTAATATCGATAGCCATATGGATTGTTGGTTGCGTTTGGATCCGTCAATTGCATATAATCATAGCCCATGTTTGTTTGAACTATTGATAGTAAATTGCAAGTGCACCAAATAAGAAGAGAATGAAGAAAAAAAAACGTTACCGTAAGTTCGAACTGTATTAGGTGAATTACGCATAGCTGCACCCATCTGTTCGAGAGCATATATACCACTATCGGCTGGTCGAATCGGCGTTGGAAAAATAATCACTTCAGATGGTTTATTCCATTTATTGTAATCGTATGATGAGTTATTACCCGATGATGCATCTAAACAATTGTAATCTTGAAAAAAAAAGTTTGCTTCTGTTCAATATATTTTTTACCTTTTGATGAATCGTATGATCCTGATGACATGATTACGAATGTTAAAATTAAAATCTATTCAGACAATAATCTAGAGAGAGAAAAACAAACATGACCATTAGTGAATGATCAATCGTCTTTATTAGTATTGATCAACAACGTTCATGGCATTTATTTTAATTCGAATGTTTAAAAACTAAAATGAGGAGAAAAAGAAAAACAATCAAAATTCGTCTATGTCTATTTTGGGTAAATGAAGATTCATTAACACTACAAAAAAAGAAAAGTCACTTTATTTGATTCATTTCACACTTCGTCTTGATGCTATTGGTAGTTTCATTTTCGACGTTGCCATTTCTGTTCTAATGGGCCATCGATAAAGTCTTCACGAAAACGCTTCCCAGCACGTGGACTCGCTGACCAAGATTTAGCCGGTGGAACAATTTCTGATGACAGTGGATAAGCAAATAATCGATCGGCCAACTAAAATGAGAAAGTATATATATGGTGAGCTAAGTTTATTATTCAGACGGAATCTCCCATTTTGTTTTTATACTTGTTCGTTTTTTTCTTGTCTATCTTTATCGTCATTGGTTGATGAGTTTCCGCCCATATTGATGAATATCAAATGAATTGAAATAATAACTGCAGAGAGATAAGCAATAATATTGTCTTGTTGATTTTATCGGTTTAGAATGGAAAGATCGATTAAATAATCTTCGTCGAAATGACCAGTATACGATCACAAAATAGTATATAGATCTAAAAAGAAAGAAAGATGAAGATGTTTATGTTTTGAATATATATATAAGATACGAATGAACTAATTTTTGTTGAACTAATAAAATGCATTCTATTTGCTAAATGAAACAAGACAAACGAGAAGAAAAAGAAGAATCAATTGAAGTTGATCATCATAAACGATTGAATATAAACCTGGTTGTCGTCTAATTATACTTGTGTATAATAGGTAAATATTAACATGATGCTGTCGTTACGAATTTCATGAAACTTGATTGACATTGATGTTTTAAAGTTTTTCTACAACGTCTAAGTTTTATTTTTTCTTGTCTTTTTTTTCGATAATGCTTAGTGACATTGTAACGAAGACGATCATAACGTGGTTGTTTGTAGAAATGTTTACCATAGCAAACTTTCAAGTCTGGCACTTTAAACTTCGTAAGAAATGTTTGAATTTGACCAACAATAAACTGATCGTCGAATCCATTGTACCGAAATGATAGTTGAATAACGCCAAGTGCCTCGACAAATTGATTTACATCGGTATAACATCGAGCAATACGAAGTAGAGCTGCTTGAAATAATTTAACATAGGATTGTAGTGAATGACCAAATATATAAGGTAAAGAATAGTGGTCCGTTTGTGAATGAAGAGCAACTTGTGCTTTAAATTGACCGTTCGTATGACTTAAAATAATGTCGAGATAATGAATCGAACTACTCAAACGCAAACTCATTTGAAGAGTAAGCCATTGTTGATTCATGGCATGTAATATATCCTGTAGTCTTTGTTCAGATTTATTCCATGTAAAGAATAATTCGTCGTTGTATCTATATAGTATATTATTCGTACAATGAATCTTACAAATTTTATTTTTGAAGCTCTGCTAGTCTTACCTGCCGAAGATTTCATTTTTATCATTCAAGATATTGACAAGATTTTGTTGCCAATAAAATAGAGAGATATTTGATAGTAACATAATCAATGGTGAATTAAAGCCACCTCCTTGTACCTGCTGATAGAATTTATTGTCATAGATAACGTAGCGTGGTTCAAGACAAAGTCGAACCATATATAATATTGTTGGTATCTTAATATTTTGCATTTGCCCATTGGAATTGAATTCAATCAAGAAACGTTGTAAAGTATCATATAGTATTTCTAGTGGAATACTTGTCGTTAGATCATGAATATGAATATTTGCAAAGAGAGTATTAGATTTCAGAAGATCTCTCCGTACATAATCTTCGACTGCATCGAGAACATCAGCACTATTATGAAATGTAGTAGTTGAAGTCACATGATCGTATAAAGGTTGAATAAGCTGAGTAATAAATCGAGTAATATTCATCGTTAAAGGATGACGATCAAGTATCATTGGATGAAATGGAATTAAAGGATGACGATCAAGTATCATTGGATGAAATGGAATATTTTCCTAATGTTTACAATAGAAAAAGTTATCAATTACTAAAGACAAATTCTAGAATCACTCATACTTGACGTGTATCAGGTAAAAAATAGAGTAGATCGAATTCACTCTTTGATCTATGGAAAATCATTTGTTGCCACTGTGAATACGTAATACATTGAGTATGAAATAAATTATTCAATGTTGTGGCTATTAGCTTGTCATTTTCTAGTAAAAGTTCATCCAACAAAAGTTGATTTGTTTCATTGATATCCATGATAAACCGATATGCATTTGTACGTGTCATATGTTCACGTATTTTCTGTTGCATTTCAATGATTTCACATGAATAATATGCATTCGTATTGTAGGTTGGTAATAGAATACGATTTTTAGTTTGTAATTGTTTTTGAATGCTGTCAAAATATTGCATATCTGTAATCTCATATAAAGGACGTCGACGATCGTTTCCTTCAAAAAGAACGTTGATTCTCTCATCGTTTTCATTTTTAGTTTTGTTGTTAAGTTTATTATTTTTGCGTGGAATAACCACATCAATAGCTTGATTAATTTGATCGACCATAATACAAGACACTGAAAGTAATCTAAAATCAGTAAATATGTATATGTATAGTTAAGATCTGAAAATACAAATAGGTTTTCTTTGGATGAAAACAAAAAAAGACCATTGTCTAGATCCATGGTTTAATTAAAATAGTCATTGAAACGAAAACGTAGAAGAAAAATTAAGATTCTGTTTTCTTTTGTAGTTCTAGTTGCTTGACATGATTCTGATAAGTTTGAATCAATAATTTCCATGTTTGTTCATCTTTTATTTCGTTTTCTCTATCCACATTGGTTTCATTTTCATACGAGTTTTCTTCTTCTTCTTCTTCTTGTTCCTCCAATATCGAATGAGTTTTGTCAAGAGTGATGTTGGTTGTGAATGGCATTGTCGTTGAAGAATTTTTATTCACAGTCATTGTGTCACAGTGTTCACGATAGAGTCGATGTAATTCTTCTAATTTCACTCGATCAAAAGCTCGATATTTTTCATCCATAATGAAGATGAAATATGATTGAATCTAGAAGCAAAAAGAAAACAGAAGAAAAAGAAGAGATTTCATAAATAAGCCAACCAAATATATCCGAAAAAAAAGACGAAGAGAAAAATGATTTAATTTTCTTTTTCTATAATGATGATAATAAATGATGATTATAATGTATTAGATGGATAATTGGGTATACCAATAATTTCAAGTTTGATGCCTTTCAAACTATCTGAAAAATTTTGAAAGCAATCTGGTAACAATTGAATTGGATTTCGTTTGGCATGAGATAAGGCAGCACCTTTTAATCGTGTATGAATATACCAAATACATGCTTTCTGGTCTTCATCAAGACGCTCGCGTTGTAGTTCTAATCTGTGTTGACGATATTCAAGAACAGCTTGACGAAGTTTATCATACGTCATTTGATTGTGTGATACTAATAGATCAGTAGCGTTGAACTCACAAAGAAATTCTTTGACTAATGCACGTATAGATTTAAAAGAATATCGATGAAATAAAAATGAATATTCAATATATTGTTGTTCAATATCAAAGTCTTGAAGTTGTGAATAACATAGAACAGCACGTACGAGAGCCAGTCGAAAAATAGACGGTGGTGCAAGTGACAATGTATTCCTCAGGATAGGCAAAGCAAATGGTTCATACTTCCAGTCATGATAGATCGAGGTATAGAATGTATGATCTTCGAGATGTCTAATTTTAACTTCAAGATAACGAATTTCTTTTATTTGTATATTGATTTGGTACGAAATTGATGTTTCAAAATGATCCATCATATTTAAAATTTCATCAAGTTTCTCTAGTGGTTCGTTCCATGTTAGAAATAAATGATCGAAACAACGTACGAAAATTTCACGTTGATTTTGATACATTCTTAATGGTTGTTGCCAATAGAATAAATAAATTTCGATGAGAATATGTATAAGATAGAGGCCCGTACCACCTCCTTTCACTTGTCGAAAGATACAATTGCGATACACAAAATATTGATGATGAAGAAGACATTCAGTTAGTGTAAGAATAGCGGCGTGGGTCATACCTTGAATCGTACCTTCGACAGCGAATTCCGATAGAAAACGTTTTAAAGTTTTTAGTAAGCTTTCATGCGTAATTGATGTATACAGATCATTCATATGAAGTGTAATCAGATGAGTCGTAGGTTTTAAATGACCTTGTTGTTGATAGTGTTCTAGACTAGGTATTATATCGGTACCTTTATCGATTGTAATGAAACAAGCTACTTTATTATAATAGATCGGAGCGAGTAAACGATGTAAATATCGACAAATAGGCATAAATGGACTTAAGCTTGATATCGTGATAGGTTCAAATGTAACTTGTCCATTTGGATGTGTGATATCAGGAGTAAAGAAAAGATAATCTAATTGACAGACGGAACGTTCAACATGCATTTGTTCATATTGAAATGATGTAATCGCTTGTTCGTCATAAAAATAGTCGAGTAAAGATTTAATTCGATTAGTATGTATATTCAAGAGATGTTGAACAGTTTCATTATTATTCGGTTGATTGAAGTTTGTTATTTCAGTATATGCTTGCGTTCGTAACATGTATCCATCAGCTTTTGTATAAAGTTCATCTTTATGACAAGCATATTGCATGAAACTTTGAGACGATGATAATAGACGATAGTCTTTTTCGCGTAATTCATTTTCTAATTTAAGAGCATCTTTTTTCTGAATAGCATACAATGTATTTGCATGTTGTTCAAATGATTGTACGCGAATCACTGGTATATCTCGAAATCGTTGATCGACATAGTCTTTCCATGGATAGTCATCGTGATTATTGGCGGTATTAGAACCAACTTGTGAAATGAAAAACATGGATTCATGAGTCGTACCAATCATGATTAGATCTAGAAGGCAAAAACAAAAAAGAGTAAATGATAATATCTATAGTGCATTGATTCAAATAGATTCAGTTCTACTATCATCTATTTGATACGCGCATTCGAAAGAGAAACAAACTGACAAATGAATAACAAGAACTAAGCAGAGAGCAAGAGAAAGAGAGACAGAGAGAGAGAGAGAGAGAGAGAGAAAGAGAGAAAGAGAAAAAGAGAAAAAGAGAAATTATTGATTCCTTGACCAAACGTCTATTGTCATCCAATCACAAACGTTGAACAGAAGACAACAAGTTTGCATTGCTAACTCATTTCTTTGTCATTGTTTTCTTTAGTAGAGGATGGTTAGGCTTTTGCTGACTTAATAAAGCATTTAAAGAATATTGATACTTTGCTGTTGATAAGATTTTGATTTCATTGGGTTTTGATGACGCTGATGATGATGATGATTCTTTTCTTTTTAAATAATTCGATAGAATTTCACGTAATAGTGTATTAAACTTTCGTTTTGAACCAAATGCATTTAAATAAAACAATCGTACTCGTTCATTTTTCTTTTCCGATTCTTGATTTCTTTTTCCAATAAGTTTTTGTTCACTAATGAAATTGAATAATCGAAGGCGTAGCTTTTCGTAGACGTTCTGATCCAAAGATTGACGAAGCGATGTCGCATCGAAGAATGTATAAAAATGATTAACGCGTTTTTCAACAAATTCTAATGAATAACCATTGGCTAAACATGCGACTTCGAGAGAAATACGTTCAAAATCAAACTCATAAACGCTTGTACAATAACGAGCGGCTCGAATCAACGCTGATCGAAGCCAATGACTATGAGCTAATTTTGCATTATTAATAGCATAGGGTAATGTATATTTTTGTCTCTTTGGATTATGATAGATAGTAGTAGCGAGTTCACCTTCATATTTATCAATGGCAGCTTCTAAAAATGGAATTCTACGACCAATTTCGAAATCGAAAATAACATTTGGATCTTGACTAGCCACCATTTTCAATAGAGCATGAAGTTCATCTTCTGTTTCATTCCATGTAAAGAAAAGTTGATTTTGACATCTTAGAAAAAAACGACAAATGGTTGCTAAGTAAGATTGATTGAACTAAAAAGCATTAATTATATTAAAAATTTACCGGCCAAAAAATTCATTTTTTATAGAAGCTTGTCTTGAGAATAATTTTTGCCATTGATAAAGATAAATATTTGCTAATGTTTGCGTGTACGATAGACTTGTTGGACTACCTTTTGCAAAACGATAAATTTTATGATTGTAATAGAAATGATTATGGTATAAGAAAAGAGCCGTCAAATGTGTAATTTTATTAATATGTAGATCTTCAATGAAAGGTCTAATTGTACAATCATTTAAAAAATCTTTGAATACATTAAGCATAGTTTTATGCGGAACGATGGCATGAAAGTTAGATATAGAAATGCTTGCAAAAATCGTAGTCGGACGAATACAATGTTCCTTGTCGGTTGTATATTCATTTAATTTTCGAATAAAATCAGCTCCATTGAGAAATGTAGTATATTCCATATGACGATGAGCAGTCGGTCGTAATAATTGATCTAAGAACTGACCCAATCGTGATGTAGCACTTCGTTGCGTGACAACGATTGGTTTTACAGAGAGATTATTTTTCTAATCGAGTAAAAATGATAACAAAACAAAAAAAAAGAGAAATAGTAATGATAAAACACTTACTTGAGATACATCAGGTAAAAAATAGAGATAAGGTAGTTCAACTTTATCCGTATCAATAGATAACTTTTCTATGAGATCTTTATATTTTTTATCATGAAAAATAAAATTTAATTCATCATTAAATGCTTTGATCTTTTTTACTAAATAGTCACGTGTCACTTGTAGATTTTCATCATTAATATCGTCACAAATTTCAAATATATCTGTCTGTTTCATATATTCATTGGTTTTGTCTTCAAAATCATTTCGATTTCCAAGATAGAAAACGTTTCTTTGATCTGCTGTTCGTCGTAGAATAAGATCATTGCTTTTTAGATGTGCTCTTATTGTGTCTACTAAATTACGTTCATAGAGTGCACGTTGATACATCGATGAAGATAATGAACGTGAAAAAGTAAGAGTATAAGCATCTTTAATCTGTTTGATAATTAACGTCGCTTGTGCCATATTCACATTGGACTTTGTCAAAAGAATAGTTAAATGATGTTGTAATAGTTTAAAATTCTTCTTAATCATCTCAATTGTAGATTGGTCAGTTGAAGATATATATGTTTGATAGGGTGGAACATAAGTGGGTCCACGATTTAAAAGTTTTAATTGTTCATCAGTGAATGCATGACGACTCGTACAAATAATCATGGATGGTGAAAAACGGAACATAGTATTTGGTGTCTTATCGTTATGAGTATCGTATCGATTATATCGACCACGACGACGACGACGTCGAACAGAAAGATCGGTTCGATAGTAATGAAGACAATCCATTTTCTTTTGAAGAACATAGAAACGTCGATAAATAAGATCAGCTAGTTTTCCTGTTAATGCTGCATTTCGATTATCTTCATGAATAGGTACTTGTTCAACTGTTTCATCGAATAATGTTTTACATTCTTGAATTTTATTTTCTGCTTCAGTTATTACTATTTTTAAACTTTCGGTGATTTCCTGTTGTTGTTTATGAACTTGTTCATCGACAGTTCTATCTATATTTGTCGGTATTAATGAGATGGATGATGATACTATATTTGATAACATCGGTGACGTCGGTCGATGACAAAGAACACGTTTTTTTATTTCAATTAATTCTTGTGTAGCTTGTAAATAGTTAAATTTTAGATTTTGAAGAAGTCGAGCCATTTCAATCTATACAAAATATAAAACTTTGTCAATGTTAGCCTGTCCCTTTCTTTTTCTTACTTGATATGCGGTTGGTTGACATCGAAAATATTCACGTTGTAATAGTTGATCATCATAATCATATTCCCAAAGAGTTAGTTTATAGTTCAATTTTACTGCAAATGGTACTATACTATGTTGTTGAACAAATGTATCGATGATTTCATCCATATTGTCTGTCCAACCGAAGCAAACTGTTTTCATTGTATTGAATATCATAGCATATTCTTCGATTTTCTGATTTAATTCTTGTAAATGTTGATTCACAATCATTTCACCTAATGTATATTCATTATGAATTTCATATGTATTCAAAGTAGCCATTTTTTCTGTTATCAATTTTTTGACTTGTAAAGGCCAAACTCGCTTATCAACATGTGTTTTTACACTTTCTTTTGTTGCCCATTGTCCGGTACCCGATTTTAAATAAATCATCCATTGTCTTTTCTCCATATGACTCGTTGCTATTCTATGTTTTAATATCATTAGTGTTCGTATATCTTCCATGCTCATAAGAATCGTATGTTTGTTCTTGTGATCCATTATGAATTTATTAAAAATCGAGTCAATTTCCTGATCTTCACGAGTTTCATTTTCATTCCATAGGGACATTTTTTTCGATGTTCCATCTGGTGTTGAAGGTGTACTCAGTGGTCGTTTGTTATCGTATATTAAATAGTCTTCATCATCATATTTCTCTTCGGTCGATAGTTCACTTAATTCTTGTGATAAAATTCGATCTTCAACATTCTAAATAAGTCATATGAATAGTACTAGATATATATATATATATATATATATATATATATATATTTATTTGCATCATGATTACTTTCTTATCATCATCATCATCATCATCAATGAACATTTCTTCTTCATCCAAATTCGTATTCATTGCTTCAAAATCAAAATCTTGGTTGTATTCTTCCATGATATCGTCAAGATCTTCTCGTGTTTGTTGTTTACCATAAGCATCATCTTCATCTTCGTCGTCGAGAATATCAAATATACCTTCGAGCCATTCCATATGATCGAACTTGAAAACAAAAATAGATCATGTCTTAAGTAGGATTGATACAAGAAGAAAATAGAAATTACATTTTTATATTGATCTAGATTAAGATCAAGATTCATCGTTGGATCATAGTTATATTCAGCCATAAGAAGGGTGAGGTATTTTAATCTAAAACACAATAATAAAGATGAACTTAAGCATGAGAAATGAAATAAAACAAAAAAAGAAATAAAATCGATAATATGCATTGGTCTATTATCTCATAGTAGACGAGGATGAATCAGTGATCGACACCAAATATCATCATTACATGTATCATCCGTAGTCGTAGTAGTAACAACTAATTTTGGCTTTGCATAAGCCACTAATAAAGCTTGTATCAAATGACGAACTGCCTCGGAACTAGTTTCAGGTACTAGAATAAAATAATAAGAAGAATAAATAGGAAAAAGAATGATAAAATTTACCAGCGATAACTATAGCTCCATTATAAAGATCAAGAAAAGGTGTTGTAATACGATCGATACGATCTCGAAAAAATGTATACTGTTCAATTTTTTGTCGAAAAGAAAATTGATAATTTGCTGGTGGTTGAGGTAAATGATCGACACACCATCGTATTAGTGTCATAGGACGAATATATTCAGATACTTTTGTTTCCGTCTCTCTAGTAGTCAATACTTGATATTCATACCAAAGATTTTTCTCTGTCGATGTTATATTTGCATCATCGATCATTGCTTGTTCTTTCGTCATAGGTACGAGACACCAATAGTCAGGTTGACATTTTAAGTATACTCCTATAGCTATGCGACATGTTGTTGAATGTTGATAGAGTTTAGAATGAGTCGGACTGAGGATGTTGAATCTATTCAAGAGATAATAGATGATGAAGAACATTCATATCAATGCATACAGTGTTGGTACACGATCTACTTCAAGTCGATTTGTCACTGTTGAACCCAGTAAAAAATGACTCATCAATCGAGATCCAATTAAACGATGTTCTAAAATGAAAATTACATTGAATGAGTCATGTCCGTTTCTTGTTCACCTACGCCACATTCGATCACGGAAAGGTTTAATACAACGACCAATAAAGTCATATTGATGACATGGACATGTTAAAGCGTAGATGATATTTGATGTTGCACAAGTCTGGAGCAGAAAAAGAAAACAAAAGGCGGCAATAATGATAATGTTCTCACATTTGATCATAGTTACCACATCACAATTTAAATAGACTTGATAATCATTGACAAAACGATGACATTGACGATCGGAAAACTGTATGGTTGGTTCGAATCGATACGTTAAATCGAATCGTTCATAACAGACAAGACAATTTATATCACGACATCGTCGCATGCCATAGTTAGCTTCAGGTGGATCGAAAGAAAATAAACCCTCAATGTTTGAACGAGGATTTGCTTGACGAAAAGTACATGTCTTCATGAAGAAACATGATGCTAAAATGATTGAATGAATTTGAACTGTTGTGATATAAACTAGGATAACGAACCATCCATTTGTAAATAGAATTCAAGAACGATGAACCAGTCTTCTATGGCCCATTGATAGGAATTTTTTTCATGTTCAATGATGAAATCTTTCAATGTTAATCGACAAAGTAAACTAAACAGACGATTTAAATTTAGAACTAAAATTGTTTTATTTAAATTCCATTTTAAAGCATATGTATCTAATAATTGTCGTACAGGTTGTATCATTTCATTTTCATTAAAAAATGGAATATAAATTTCTTTAGAATGAAATCGATTCGATTTGCGACGTCGTTTTTCTTCATCGGATAAATGTTTATTGTGTAGATTAGCTAGAAGAGGATAAAATTCATTCGTATTATTGAATTGAGAAAAAATGGGTACAATCGATTGTAGAACAGAATCCATGATCATAGGTGGACGTTTTTCACACAATCGCGTAACATCTTGATTAATTGGAATAGGTAACCACTCAATTTGTTGTTGATTTTCACATAAATGAGACGACGACGACGACGACGACGACGAAGAAGAAGAAGAAGAAGAAGAAGAATCATTTGAAATGTCATTTAATGGTGGTGTTGATACGAGACGTTTCATACTAGATTGATTCGCGTCGTATGAAGTATTCTTAAATAGAACATCCATAGATTTTAAACGTTGAGGTAACATTTGTTGTTGGTTAAATAGTATCGATGAATATAGAATTAAACAGATAGAGGACAATGATCTACAATAGGCCATTAGAAGTATACAGCGATAGAACTTTGTCAAATAAAAAGAATAATATATATGTTTTATTTTTATTTAAAATTTTGGACGAATCAAATCTTCACACCAAATATCGTATTCGACGAATGAAGTGGTGTTGATTTCTTTCGACGATACAAGTCGATCTAAATGACCAATTGTATTGAGTTTCGTTTCAGTATGTGTAATAAATAAAGCTTCAATCAATCGTCTTAAAGTATCTGATGCATTGTTTGGTACTATCATGTTGAAATAGCGAAATAATTTAAAGATTCATTTGTGTATTTTGTATATAGGAAGGTGTACTTACAGACAGCAATAATATTTGCTCGATACAAATCAAGACGAAGATTCGGTGACTTCAAGTATTTCTTTTCATGAAAAAATTGTTCGATTTCTAGTTTTTGTTCAAGACTAAAGTGATAATGGTTGGGCGATGTAGGTACATCATTGGCATAAGTAAATTGTTGTGTGTCTCTCGTTGAACTAATCAAGTAATGAACAAAAAGAATGATCACAAACAGATGCTTACTATACGATTTCTTTTTCTTCTTCTTGTTCTTCTGCTTCGCTGAGTTTCTTTGGAACAAATGGCCAATACTCTGGATTTTCATCAAGAAACCATTGAAGAGCTAATGGACAATGTGCCGAATGTTGATAGAGTTTCATACCATTTTTTACTAAAGTTCTAATGATTACAAACAATTTCGAAAAGATGACATTATTCGAATGTAGTAGTTACTCGGCTGATTTGATTTGATTTCGAATACGAGATGTATTTTGTTTGCCTAGAAGAAATTCTTGTATGATACGATTTCCATGGGCTTGATGATCTATGTGAACCGGATTTTCAAATGACGACAAACAAGAGATGCATTTTTCAGATATTTACATGTGAGACGATCAGCTAATGATAAACTTGTTTCACCAATATAATCGACCTTATTACATGGACATGTTAGAACATAGATAATATTCTTTGTCGTACAAGTTGCTGGACAATTAAGAATCGATCGATAACCGTTGATAAATATATGTTGTTGATGAATTTCAAATGGAACGATAGGTTGATGTGTACGATAAGATGGATAACATAGATAGCACGAGCGTTGATGACATGGTATAATACCATATCGAGCTTGAGGTTCATTCGAACAGAAAATACTCTTATGTAAATTGTCATGGATGGATTGTGCTCCACGATACGAACATGTCTTCATATAAAAGAGATCTTTATCGATTTGAAGATAAAATTCCAATGCTATAGAATATTCATCGTCGTGAAGATATTCTTGATACCATGATGTTGAAAAACGTTGCATTCGATCTATGGCTAGTCGATTGGCAAATGTCTTGAGTCGTGTAAAATTAAATTCTAAAATCTCTACACTGATATTCCATAAACGACTCAAAAAAAACAGTCTTCTTTCATGATCATTAATCGGTCTTGTCATTGTTGGCTGATGGTACCCATACGTACCGCGTTGTTTCATATCTTGTCGACTCAAATGATAACCTAGATATGAAATGGGAAAACGACAAAAACAAAATGACGCGAAGCGACTGATTGATCATACATGGAACATTGGCTAATAGTAGCAATTCTTCTTTAACATTGTCTCGTATAGGATAGCATGGTAAAATTGAATATCGTACACAACAATCAGATTTAGATAATGACGGTATGACCGATTCACATGCTAGTTAGAAACGAGATTGACATTGAACGCATACATATATTTTAAAAGGTAAAACACATGTTCAACATACGTCTCATTTTCTTATCGTTCAATTGATACGCCATAGTAATGAATGAAATTTATCTAGAAATATTCAATCATAGACCAACAGAAATAGAGAGAAGAAACGTTCATTCAATATACACATCTCATCATCGTATAAAACAAATGCCTAAAACATCACATGTTCATGAACTCAATAGATTTGAAAGTGTTTATATTTCTGTGGGCTGTTTTAAAAGCTCACAGACTGGTTTCTGTTGCGTTAACAAAGTATTTAGAGAAAAAAGATGATGTGCAGTGAGAAGAAGTTTTCGTTGATTGGATGATAATTGTGGATGGTTTTTCATGAAAGTTGATAAAATTTCATAGAACTTTTCTTCAAATTTTCGATGGTAACCATAATGATACGGATAATGAAAACGTAGGAAATATTTATTTGATTTTAAATCTAATTCTTGAAGAGACTTGTCACATTGTGTATCATTACGTATCAATAAACGGCGGCGTAATTGTTCATAGATCGTTTGATTCATATGAAAGCGATATGTTTCAATATTAAAATATTCATAGAATTTTTTAAATTCATATTCAGTCCATTTATCTGAATAACCAGAAACGAAACAGCTCATCTGTAAATAGAGACATTCTCGATAAAAATCTTCATAGAGTGTACATAATTGAACAGCTCGTATGAGTGCGGATTGAAACCAATGACGATGATTCATTTTTGGATGGCCTACGACATAAGGTAAAATTAATTTCGACTGTCCATGAGGATGATAGACACGTGTGTATAATTGACCGATACGATTTTCGACATATATATTTAAATAATCAATAGAACGACCGTAGGATATATTCATATGAATTTCATCATCATACGTTTCTTTAATCTTATGAAGAAACGTATGAAGATCATTTTCCGAATGATTCCATGTAAAAAAGATGTCATCTTTGTATCGAACAAAGAGTTCTGATTTTAATCGATGATCATCGATGATCTTCGTTTGCCAATAATATAAACATATCGATAATAATAAGTCGCTAAGACGCATACTGTTAGGTAGGCCATGTATGAAAGAATAAATATTTTCTTGATAATAGAATAGATGATTCGAAAAGATGAGTTCAATTAATCCTTCAATCGTTACAATAGATAAATTTTCAATAGGATTATTGGAACAATGTTTCGTGAGAATATAACCGACTCGATTCACAACCGATTGATTAGAGAACATTGTATAAAAATTCGTTATTTTTATTCGTGCAAAAAACGTTGTTGAACGAAGACGTCGTTCAAGCGTACAATATCGATAAAGTCTCTGAATAAAATCACTCTCATTATTTATCATCGTTGGTTGTAGAAGAGGTATGACAACAGGTCGAATTAATTCATATAAAAAGTCGGCTAATTTCCATGTTAAACTTTGATACATTGAAAACATTGGTTTTACATTAAAATCTAAATGATCTGATGAAATCTGAGGTAAAAAGTAGAGATAACCTAATCGAATTTCATCCAGTTTCACATATAGTTTTTTATAGATTCTATCTGAGATTTTACTCTGTCTAAATAAATGTTCTAATTTAGTATTCATACGATAGATTTTATTATCCAATTCATAACGAATCTGTTGTTGATTATGTTCAGTCAAACTATATAGGATTTCATAGTTATCATGATGTTTACTCATAAATTCAAGACATTTTTCTTCGAAATGATGTTTTGTTGTTAGATAAAATCGATTCGTATGATCAGCCATTCTACACAGGACAAGATCGTTGATGTTTAATAGTTGTTGTATCGATTGTATTAGTTGTCGCTCATAGAAGGCACGCTGTCGAATATCGAGAGATACGTTGACGGTTACGAAAGACGATTGAAATTCGTCTTTGATCTTCTTTTCAATCATAATTGATTGAGAAGAATCGATGCGATACTTTTGAAATAGACTCTTTAGTTGACGTTCGAGAGATAGATAGTGCGTTGTTAGAAACACACTCATCGACGATAAACTATGTAGTTGGCAGGGTGCAACATACGTTGGTCCGCGATTTAATAGTTGTAATTGTTGTTGTGTTAACGATACGGATGGCATATACGAATCAATGATTAAATTACTCGAGAATCCAATACGTTGAATATCTTTTATTTTTCCTTTACGAATATCTTCGATGTAACCGTAATGATGACGAAAATAATAATTAATATGAAAATCAGATATAATTTTCATTTTTTCCTTAATTAAATTTGTGCGTTGATCGATAATATGTAATAATACGGATGTCATTTTTTTATCGATGGCATTATGATGATGATGATGACGTAGCATTTCATTTGTTTCGATATTTAATGTTGTTCGATATTGATCAAGTACCGTTTCCATAGACATGAAACGGATAAGAATGAAATCGGTTTTCGCTTTTTCGATTAATATTTTATATCGATCAAGAACCTGTTGACGAAGGGGTCGATTCGAAATTGAATTACATCTTAATGATAGATCTAGCTGTTGTAATGGATCGTACGATGTAGGTGGTTTATTATAGAGGATACGTAATCGATGAAGTATGAGATCCTTTTTGACGATTTCTAATTGATAATTTAGTTCATACATACGTTCTATTGTTTTTCTCTGAAATCAACAAGTGTGATAGTGTAGGAGAAGAAAAAAACGTTTATACTACTTGATAGTCTGTTGGTTTTTCTTGTTCATATGCAATTTTTAATAGATGATGTTTATAATTATTATAGAGTATACCTGTGGCAAAATCACATTTCATACGTATTGGTCTTTCACCATTTTCTTCAACAAACTTTTCAATCGCTTGTTTGATAGTATCGGTGCAATGAGTCATATTATTTTCTTTTTCATCGATTTGTTTTTGATAATAATCAATCTTATTATTGTATTTTTCTAAACGTTGATGAACAAAAGATTCACATGCAACATGTTCTTCTTTATTTGCGATTGATGTGAGTAATAATCGACGATTGGATGTCGACATAGATAATTTGACATGTGTTGTCCAATAGCATCGTAGTGAATGCTTCATATCATTTGTTGGATCTTCTTTTAATAATTCACCTCTACCTGCTTGTAAATATAATGACCATAAATGATAAAGTCTTCTGTATACTACTAGTTCATGCTGAAAGAAAGCGAACGTACGCAACTCTTCGGTGTCTGTCGAAGAACGTTTATCGATTAATTTTTCTATCATTTGATCAAATAATTGATTTTCAACTAATAGATAATCGGGTATCGAATCGGGTTCATCAAACGACCCCGTAGTATGAATATTTTGATAGAGGAGTTTCTTTTTCACTGATATATCTGTTGCTGTTGTGGTTACTTGTACTATGTTGTCTTTCATATTTGACGATTCACATTGATCGGTTTCATGAGATTTAGGTATAGTCTCGGAGACGAATCGTTCATCGTTTACTTTCATCATTGAAGAGTTTTCATAGTATATTAATTCTTGTTCTTGCTCTTCTTCGAAGTCACTTAAACCCATATGAAAGTTAAAAGCATGATGATGATGATAATAATAATACTTCGACGGGTCTGCTAAAAACATAGAACTATCATTGTTATTATCATCCGTGTCTAGTACATCGAAGATATCTGAAAAAGTCATTGACGTGTTCTAGATTGAAAACAAAAAACATAAGAATTAAATCGAATTATAATATCTTACGACTATCGTATTCATCATAGAGTATTTTTAAATAAGGGTGTAACGTTTAGAAGCACTTTCAGTATATATCAATGAAATCTGAAATAAATCTGGACGATAAACATGTTTCGTATTATTTTGTGTTGTAAGATCGATCATAGAGCGTATATAAATCGATCATAAAGCGTATATAAATCGAGAATAAATACGTAAGAATGCCGTCTATAGTAATGTAGAGTAAGATGATGAAAATATTGAAGATAATATAATAGACGACAGGAAGATGTACACTCTGTGGTCTGATCTAAAACACAAATCTATATTAAATCTAGATATGAATAATGCAATTTAAAGTGTCAACCATCGAACATGACGAAGCAAATGATGGATAGAAGCATGAGCAAAAAAGAAAAGAAGTTAAATGAAGACATCTACGAGACACGTGAGAGAAATTAACAATAAAGAAAAAAAAACCTAATTGATAAGACAACGAGTTCATCAGATGTAACTGACGGGTGATGATTGTAGTTGTTGTTCACGTGCTCGTGGTGAATAAGCAAATAATGCAGTGGCAGAAGCATCGTCATGATTGAAATAATAGACCTAGAAAGAATGATGATGCTTTTGTTTTTGTCGTACAAATGAAAAAGCGCTTTTGATGATGGTTTGATTGCTACCTACCTTTTTTTCATTGCCATTGTTCATGTCAATTAACTGTCTATTAGAATGTTTCGTCGAAATTGGAAATGATTTTTTCTTGAAAACACATCGGCCTAATCGATTAAAGAAACTACACAATATGAGTAACAAACAGATGAGAAGGATGGCCAATATCATGATTAAAATAATCAAATGTAAATCACTCTTCTCCACTGTGATCTTCTTAGATATGGTTGATGTGTACGCCGTTTTTCTAGTAGTACGATTCAAAATATCGATTAATTGTTGTATTGGTTGAATATCAGGCCAATGTGGTAGAGAAAACCTTTGTTGAAATGTCTTATTACCAGGCATTTCAAATACAGTCATATTTGCATTATTATATATATTGGATACCATGATGAAATGAAAAGAAACCGAAAATTTTGTTATCTAGAAATGAAGGTCATATTGTAAACGAAAGATATTCATCATTAAAAACAAGAATACTACAATAGATAAAAGAATGATCTTGCAAAACAAACAGACAATAGAATCAAACTCTATTGTTTTCGATACAATTAGAAAGTAAATAGGATGAACATGATTGTGATACATGCTCAGTTACCTATATAAGAAAAAAAGCAAAAATGTTAAGATATGATGCTTTAAGAGCCTACACACAAAAGAACGATAATACAAATGAAAACAAACAAAAAACAAAGAATCAAGAGGAGAATAATGCTGATAGTTCATGTTTGATAGTTTTTATTTAGCCAGAATCATTTTCATGATTATTAAAGTTGTCTATAATTATGTTCGAGTTCGCTGAAGGTTCGTTTTGTTGCACGTTCTCCTCGATGAGGAACTGATCTTTCCATCGTATATATATGATAAAAGTAACTAGAACAATAGCTAGTACGATTATTATTATGAAAATATCGATAGAAGACATTGGATTGTTAAAATTGTTTTTGTTGATGTTTCTTGACATTTTTATAATATTATTTTGTGTTCTATTGTAATAATCTGATAAAATTACTTTTCTCACTTGAAAAAGTGTACGATCATTTAATGTCATATAAATTTTCGTTCCATTCGAGCCTGTTGGATATTCAAACGATGTAATGTTTGGCGAATCAAAAAACATTCGTATCATTGTTGTACGAAGTATGCTAGTGATTAGTGATAATCTGAAAAGTAAATGAATCAAAAAACAAAAACAATCATGAGATGAGCATTTATATTAGAGAGTTAAACTTTCATCAACTAATGAAGACAATTTATATTGAGATATGCATTGTACTTTTTTAGTAATATTTGCAAAACGTTGTTCCATTAAATTTAATACTATCGAATTGAATCGTTTTTTAATAGGAAGACAGTGTTGTTCTTGCCATAGCTTAGCCATTTCATCATCGAATAACTGTTGTATTTCTAACATAAATATTTCAGCTATATAAACTAATAAAATCATCATTTCACTTTTATATGTTTCCATGATTTGTTCATGTCGATTCAAATATTCTTGACGAATTCTAGGATCATCTATTGCTTGAATGTAGACTGGAAATACTATCTGAATAGTGTCAAGTGATTTTGGTAGCTCTTTTTGTCGAAGCAATTGCTTCAATGAGTTGAAATCACATTTTGACATTTCATTTTGATATTTACGATGGCAGAGATTTTCGATCAATTGTTGCTATAGATAGATAGATAGATAGATAGATAGGGTTGTATGGAAAGAGAGAAACATAAACAAAATATCTTACTTGATGAACATTCAGATTTTGTTGTTGTTCCTGTTGCTGTTGAATTTCATATGCCAATCGATGATCTTCAAATTCATAACCTATTAATGCTATGTTATGTTCATAATCCATTTGTAATGAATGAAGTTTGTCTTGTATGAATGTTTGAAGAAAAGGTTTCATAGTATTATGATAATTATGTATAGGTTGTATCTGTTCATCATGTTTTCGTTGATAATATTGCTCTCGTTTTTTTAATTGTTGTAAACGATTTCGAACGATCTTCAAATAAATTTCATTCTCAGTGTCGTTATCTTGTTGTTGTTGTTGTTGTTGTTGATGATGATGACGACGAACGGACGAATGAATTCGGGTGTGGGGGTGTGTAGGAAGCTACCACGACGCGTTTCGACTGATGCTTAATCAGTCTCATCAGGTGGCTTAATATCTTTAAGTCAATTTTAATTCAAACATAAAATTTTGAACAAAATCAATTCAAGACAATTTACTATGCTATATCTCAAAAAAGAGAATATAGTTGTAAACGATACCAAATTCATTGAAGAATATGGGTGTGTAGGAAGCTACCACGACGCGTTTCGACTGATGCTTAATCAGTCTCATCAGGTGGCTTAATATCTTTAAGTCAATTTTAATTCAAACATAAAATTTTGAACAAAATCAATTCAAGACAATTTACTATGCTATATCTCAAAAAAGAGAATATAGTTGTAAACGATACCAAATTCATTGAAGAATATGGGTGTGTAGGAAGCTACCACGACGCGTTTCGACTGATGCTTAATCAGTCTCATCAGGTGGCTTAATATCTTTAAGTCAATTTTAATTCAAACATAAAATTTTGAACAAAATCAATTCAAGACAATTTACTATGCTATATCTCAAAAAAGAGAATATAGTTGTAAACGATACCAAATTCATTGAAGAATATGGGTGTGTAGGAAGCTACCACGACGCGTTTCGACTGATGCTTAATCAGTCTCATCAGGTGGCTTAATATCTTTAAGTCAATTTTAATTCAAACATAAAATTTTCAGCCAAGTCTGAAGGGATTCGAATGTAATAGTGATGTTGTTTTGATTTTACTTAAAAGTTGTTGGATAAATGAATGAAATGCTGCATGAATTGTTTGGAAATTCTCGTTTTCTCTAAGTTTTATCATATTGTGTCTGATGTTGGTCGTGGTGAAAGTTAATAGTCGTGCCAGCTTTGAATGATTTCTGGTTAAAATAATTTCATAATGAGTAGTAGAAATGTCGAAGAATTTTAATCTGGATTTGTTTTTCTTTATATCTAGAATGGAGAAAGTCATGAATTTAATTTTGAAAATCAATAGGGTACTGGAAACATATGGAAAAATGAAGAAGAAATAATATTAATCGGAAAATGTCATTATATTTTTGACGGAATATGATAGAAGTTGGAGTGGCAGTAGTCAATGGCAGTTGCTTGTTGATTCGAATTATTGATTTGATTTTGGAATTGGTATGATGTGGAAGAGTGACAATGATAATAATGTGACTGTACATAATTCGATATGGATTAATTGACGAGGTTTCTTTTTTGTTTCTGTTTTATGGTATCTGAAACAGAGTAAGATTGAAGTTTGGATAAAGTTTTGAATAAAGAAGAAAAATTTTACTTGGAAGTGTGGTTGGTTTTAACATGGTTGGAGGGGGTCTTTTTTGTACTAACTCATGTCCAGTGCTACGATGATTTCGATGGCCAACAATTAGTCGAAAATCTATGCCTATTGTATGTTGAAATATTTCTGAATAAATCTTATGTATATCACGTTTCAGGCTATGTAGTCGTTTTTCATGTGTATAATGAAGAAAGAGAGTGTCTGTGAATTTATTCGCCTTATTTTGTTTTGAAATTGAAGTGATCGTTTTTGTTTCTTCGGTTGTATTGTGATTGTCAATCTCTTTGTCGTATGTAACAGCTGCAATTCTATGTTGTGTTTCTCGTTCTTTGACAGTGAGTTTAGGTAGTAAAGTATTTCTCATAAGTAAAAATTGATTGTCGTTGCCGATGAACGGTATCATAGATGATTTTGACATTGAGCGACCAAAGAATTTTCTGAAATGTGTGTCAATATACCTGGATGGATACCTAATATGTATAATATAGTAAAGAAATTAGATAATTAATTATAGAATGAATGTTTCTGACAGAGAGACTTACCCATTATAGAGCAACATCAGTCGAATAGCACGACGTTCCTTTTCAAAAATGTCCAATGTCGTTGAATAACGTACAGCTCGAAGAAGAGCAGCTTGAATAATATTCGAAAATACATGACGTGGATGATCAGAAATAAATGGTACAACACAGGGTTCGGCTGCTGGTTTATGATAGACAGATGTGAATAAAATACCATTCTTATTATTGATAAGAAGATCAAGAAATGAAACACAACTACCAATATTAGCTTCTAATTTAATGTTTGGATGAAAGGCATTAGCTTTCTTGATGACTTCTTCGATTGTTGCCTTTGGTTCATTAAAAGTAAAGAAGATATCATCAATATATCTAGAATGATAAAACGGAAAAAAAATAATGAATCTCTTCAAATAGAACAACAAGAAGATAAATAAATAAGTAATAGCATACCGGCCATAGATTTCATGCGGTCCTATTGCATCACAAATGGCGTTTTTTTCCCAGTTCCACATGAAAATATTGGCTAATGTTAAAGTAAACGGGGATCCCATTGCACCACCAATAATTTGTCGATAGAATTTATTTCCATCGACAAATGCAGTCTCTTTGAGAACAAGATCAGCTAATTGAAGAATAACTCCAATTGGAATACCTTGTACTTTCTCATAATGATGTTCAAGAAGAAATTCTTTGAGAATTTTAAGTGACTCGTCTTGTGGTAACATTGTATATAAGTTCGTAATATCAGCTGTACAGAATAGAGTCGTAGGCTTCAAATGACCATTACGAACATATTGTTCTAATTGACGAAGAAGATGACCACCATCAATAATTGGTCTCGGTTGTGCATGCTTATCAAACAAAGGTCGAATAGATTGATCTAAAAATCGAGATATACCAGTAGTGGCAGCATGAATCGTATTCATAATGGGTCGTAGTGTTATTGGATTCTAATTAGAAGAAGATGAAGAAAGCAAATGTTTATTGAATTTAAAACAGATGAACAAAACATAGTAAGAAACATTACCTTATGTGTTTTAGGATTGTAATACATATAGGCTAACTCGACAGTTAATCGACTTGGTATCATTTTTTTATATTGTGCAGGTGAAAGTTGACTGGGCTTGGCATGAAGATCATTGAGTAAGCGAGTGACTTTATTTAAAATCTCTTCAATGGGACTCGACGATAATTCTTCATAGGCACCTGTTTTCAGTCGATAATCAGCTGCTTTTTCTTCAAATTCATTTAAATGAGCCACATACAAATTGCCACCTTTATCTGTTTCTCGAAGAAGTAATTGATTTTTCTTAAGTTTACGGCGAATCAACTTCATCGTCTGTAAATCACGTTGAGCACGAAGATGTTCAATAAATGGAAGTGGAGTCATATAGTGAAGCATGAGACAAGCTTGAAGACGTTCAGAGAATTGTTTAAAAATGTTTGATTTAGCATTTATGTGACATTTTTCCGTTAGCCGTAATTTTGTTTGATTTATCATGATCTCATGTTGCTCTTGAACTATTTTTACTCGTTCTTTATATGAACGAAGAGCAGTACGATTCGGTCGAATATAATTTCCATCTAAAATAGATGAAAGAAAGAAATCAATTGAAATTCTATGAACTCCGAGATTTTTGTGTATATCCTACGTCGTGAAAGATATTCATGTCCAATCATAGCCAACGAATGATCATTCACATTGAGTATCACTTCGGGAGACACGCCAATTGTTTGCTTCGCTTTTTTAGAACGTTGACGACGCCGAGTCAGTTTCCCATGAAAACTAGCCATTTCTTGAAATGTATCTTTCTTGATTTGAATTGTTCGATGTTTTATATAAGCTTGAACAGTACGACATAGTACACGTACATCGTGATGATGATCTTGATGATTGGAAATGTCTAACTCTAATTGTGTTAACAATTCTTGATATAGCCGATTACATTCTTTCATCCTGACATCGTAAGATTCCATCAGTATATCGAGCCAAGTTCGTTTCGTTTCTTGTAAGATTTTTGAACGTTTTAGTTTGTAATTGAGGGAATATTGGTCTTCAAGAGCTGGTGTATAGAAATCAGATGCAATCAGAGTATCTAATTGATCAAAATTAACAGGCAATAGTTTTGATAGAATTCGTTGTTCTAACAGTAACAATTCTTTTCGTATTTGTAATTCTGTTTCTCGTAGATGAATAAGACGATTGATTGCTTCCTTCTGATCACTTGTCAGATTATTGTCGAATAAAATGTGATGAAGTCGTTTTTTATGTATTGCATCTTTGAATCGTTTTAGCTGATGATAAATTTTACGAGTGAATCGTTTTTGTTGTGAACTGATATATTCTTTTAAATGATGATCAAGAAGAGTCATCGTCAAAGTTTCAGGACAAGTTGTTGCTTGTAAATTTAACTGTGTGGTACATTGTTCTAATTGCTGTTGTATATGAGTCAAATAGTCTTGTACGAATTTTTCACATAACGGAAGTTCATTCGTTTTTGTTATCTTATAGAAATAATCCTTTGAATAAAAAAAAAAAGAACATGACAATAATTATTGAAAATCATGTGAAAGATGTACACTTACTGGCCATTGATGTCGTTCATAGCCAAGATCAAAATAAGATTGCCAAAGAGATTGATGTATATTCAAACAAAATTGTTGATCTAATAGTTTTAATCGTGAATAAATAAATTTATGTTCCGATTTAGTCTTAATTGGATGATCCAGTTGTCGACCTAGTGTTTGAATCAATAGCCTTGGTATTCGTTTCAAGTAAGATGCTACTCGATACACCTTATCGAGGTGCGGCACTGATGTCTGAATCAAGTTTTGTTTCTTTTTTACTTTCTTTGGTTCTGGTTGTGAAATTGAAAATTGACTCAATGATCGAACGGGTTCTCGTTTCCGTTTGATAGAAGTCTTTTTAATGCTCTGATTCAATGTCTAGTATATACATAAACTTTATTATTTTATCATATAATTCAAGTTAATATTCTCTTACTATGATTGTTTTAGGACGATGGTCGATTGAATCATTTTTATTGATGATGGATGTTGGTTGATTTGTACGAAAATCACCAAATCTCTTCTTGATTTTCCTTTCAATGTTATGTGGTTTCATTCCTCGAGCACGACATTTCTTACGAAATCGTTGTACTTTTCGATTACCATGACATTTCTTACGTCGTTTCTTTTCCTCTACTGGTTGATCTGATGATTTTTTTTCATTGATTGTCTTCAACACTTGATGATTATAGTCCTTATTCATGATGACAGTAAATCTAAAATTATTAAAGAAAATCCTAGTGAAAATTATAATAAAAGAAAAACAGAAAAAGCATAGAATAAAGTAATATTTTATTTGATAATACTAAAGGAAAGTTTCTATATTGTTATGGAATATTTGTTTTAACTTGAAATAATTGAGCTTTGCATTTGTAGATATATTCGGTGCGTGCATCAATATTAACTAAACGTTTTCCCATCAAATCGATCATCGTTGAAGTTAAGCGTTGATCAGTTGGTATAATTTTTTCATGTTGCCACATTTGATTCATTTCCATATCGTATTGTTTTTGATACTGACGCATTTGTCTTTCGGCTGTATCTCTTGCTAGTATCATTATATCAGCTTTAGCTTGTTCAACAATTTGGATGTAATGTTTGGACAATTTCTTTCGCATATTTGCATCTTGAATACTATCAATCACTGATGATTTTCCAATGAGTTGATTTCGAGTAGAATTCAAAGTAAAATGTTCAGGAATACATTGTTTGAGTGAATTAAAATGATATTTCGTGATAGCTTCTTCATATTTTAACTTACAGAGACCTTTGAAAATTTGTATCTAAGTAAAAAAAGCATCTATGATAGGATACATTTATCGATAACAGAGGTATCCTTACTTGGTTTTCATTGGGATGTTCAATCAAATATTGACGTTTTAGTACTGCATCAGTGTAATGATATTGAACGAGTGATATTTGACAATCATATTCAATAGATTGATATCTGAACCTTTGTTTTACAAAATTTTCAATAGTTAATTCCATTGCCGATGTATAATCCATGATATGACTTGTTCGATATCGTAATTGATTTCGATATATTTCATTTTGATCATTCAATTTCTTTTGACAATGATCAACAAATAGTTGACATTTTTCATCTGCACTTGTGTTTGCATTTTCAATATATTTTATGCGAGAACAAATTTCGAACGGCCAAATTTTCAGAGAGACTTCATTCGTTGATCGTGTTTGTTGAAATTCACCCATACCTGATTTTCTATATGTTATCCAAAGAGTTTGTAGTTTTTCGATTAATAACATTTTATACATAAGAATAGCAACATGTCTTAATTCTTCCAAATGATTTTGACTGATTTTTGGTCGTATATCATGAATCGTTTCTTTAAATGATTCATTTGAACTACATAAATAAGGTGGAACTTGATGAATATTGACTCCAATTAATTGTTGCAGATCGAGTTCTGTATAAGGAATAATCTTTCTTTGTTTTGATACTTTGTTCTTCTGCTTCTTCTTCGGGTGCTGAGGTGAACTGGATAGTTGACTAAATCTCTGTGATAAATCAATTTCGTTCCATATCGACTAAAATAGAAAATGTTGACCGATATATTTTTTACTATAAACAAAAAAAAAAGAATTCTTTGATACTTGTGAATGTTGCATTGGTTGAGCCATGGTTACACAGTGTCCTTTAATGTATGTTTGTATATTTTTAATAAATTGATAATCATTATCTGAAAAGAGGCGATAATGAATAGAAATATATCTAAAACGAAAGAAAGTGAGCTAAATCAATGTGTATTATGTGAGGTAAAAAAAACGAAATTTTTTTGTTATTCTTTTTCAAATAATCTATTTAAAACTAATACTACTCTATTACAAACCAACTACTTCTACTAATACAACATGTAAATATGCTAATATTTATATTGTCAATTCAGATTTCATTGATGTTATTGTTAATGATAACTATGAGTATCGTGATCTATACAAAAGAAAAAAAAATAGACATGACTGATGAAAATAAAAGAAAACATACAAATGATATTTACTGTTTTTATTCTCTCCATTCTTTTGGCAAAGTCAAAAGACAAATAGGTGGTCGTTTATTAACGAGAATATCACTGTTGGTGAGATTTTTTGATGTTGATTCTATCCATTTGATCTGAATATGTTTTGTTTGTGGTTCATTACCGTAATATTTCTTCCACCAATCTTTCAAGCGTTGCGTATAATCGTCTAGTTGTTTGGGATCAATCCATTTTGTACATGGGACAAATAATGTATGTTGATTTTGTCGTTCACGTTGTTGCTTCAGTTCCATTTGCAGTTCAGTGACTTGAATAATACGTTGACGTAAATGATGATATTCATCTTCATTCAGAAGACATGAAAAGGAACGTTTCGATAGACCGAATTCCAAAAAAAATTGTTCAATACCAGACTGAATAAATTCCGATGTAGAACCAGATGTAAGAAATGAGAGTTGAATATGACGTCTTTCATGATTGAATTTCACGACATTCGAACAACATCGAACAGCTCGATATAGAACAGCATATAATTGTTTTGATTTATTCTCCATTGGTTCATCAGATACATTTGGTAGAGTATCAATATTTGGATCATAAAAAACTTTACTTTCGAGAACATCATTATTGTTGTTTTGACTAATTTCGACATCGTGAAAATGAACTGTTGATCCAATGGACATTTTCACGAGATACCGAGTGTGTTCGACATGAATATTTTTTTTGATTAATGTACGAAATTCATCTTTAGATCCATGCCATGTTAAGATTGCTTGTTCTCGATATCTATTGAATGTGAGAGAAAAACAAATGAAATATATATGAATTTATTTACAATAAAATACAATGTTGAAAATTATCTTACCTGCCAAAAAATTCATCTTTTTCTTTTATCGTTTTTATTAACTCACTATGTTGTCCATAAAATAAATTAACATAGGTCAATAGCATTGTCAATGGTAAACCAGAAGCACCACCATGAATTTGTTGATACAATCCGTTATTATAAACACAGAATTGATTTTTTAATACAAGATGAACCAATTGCAAAATAATATCAATAGTAAGACCATCAATTGTCTTATCTTGTAATTGTTCGACAAGTAATCGTTTTAAGGTTGACATTGTTTGATCGTGTAAAAAACTTGTCGTCAAATCATCCATATTAAATGTTACGAAGAAAGTACCAGGTTTAAGATGACCCATTTGTGCATACTTTTCCATAGCATGTATAACATCAATAGAACCGTTCTGAAATCGTCTACAATTGGTTGCTCGATCAAATATTGACCATAGAAGTGGAGTTATATAACGAACGATATTCATTGTTGGCCCATCATTACATACCATGATTGGTCTCACTGGTATTTCTTCCTATGTGTATGTATTCATTCATAAGATAAAATTATAAAAAAATCTATAAGATACTTACTTTATGAGTTTCTGGTACAAAATATAGATAATGCATCCGAACCAATGATCGATTAATATTCATTTGGGAATGATGTACTTCATTGATATATTTCGAATCAAGTAACTGAGACAATTTTGTTTCTATTTCTTCAAGAATTTTAGCTAAACATAATTGACTGGCATTTTGATGAACTCCATTAAGTTTATGTAGTAATACCCATGTACTAGTTTGCGTTATATAAGCGACTTCTTTTTCTTGAAAATCATTTTTGGAACTGATGTAAAATGGAGTACCCTTGTATGGTAATCTAAGAATCATGTTATTAGCAACCATTTTACGTCGGATAGATAATAAAGTACGATTTTCAGAGTTAGCTTTATGACAATCATCTTCTTTCAATTGATTATAATCGAGATAACGAATAAAATTTGGTAAATCATCCCAATCGAGATCTTTTAATTCTTGTGCCTCTTGATGATGATATGTCAATTGATTATCTTGATCCTCGCCGTCATCGATCTTATATAAAATCCATGTACTATTATTAACATCGTCTTCTTGTTTATCATTCATAGCTTGTGTGTTATGGACATTGAATTCACCATTTTCATGTGTATTGTCATCAAATAATGTATATGGATGTATTTTCATTGATGATGGACTCATATCACTACTCTTGATATGAAAATCGGGCAGCGTGACGTCTTGGGCCATTATCTAAAGTAAAAATCGAAACAGAGTATATATATATAGAATTTCAATTCCTTTTGCATACTTACTGGAGGCATCGTTGTAGGATGATTAAATGTTGATTTTTCAATCATCTCATCATCCGAAACATTATTATTATCGATGAAAGACGTTTGTGAAAAATTTTCCATTAGTCTAAAATTCTATCTAAAATAGAATTGTAAGTATTAAAACTATAAGAATAAAAATGAAATCAAGGATTCAAGAAAAGTACGAGGAGTCAAAGCCTATTGTATATTCATCATTTCATTTATGCATATAGAAAGATTGATTTCTTGTTGGGTGGTGGTTGTTTTGAGTTGAAACGATCACTCTTCTTTGTTGGTGAATTTTATTGCTTCGTTAATTCGGTTTTATTTCTATATCGTTCGTTCGAAGAGCTCCATGTTATTTAAATCTAGAACAGAGATAATAAGGGATTGTTTATATTATTAGAGTTATTGAAGAATATTTATTGGAGGTTTTATCGAAAGGGTTCAACTTTTAAAGTTTCATGTAACATTCTATATTTTTGTTTACAATATTTAATTATTTTTTCATTTCTTTTCGGATGTGGAATGTTCGGACGAGGTATATGAAGTTGAGGATCGTATATAAAAGGCTTATCAAATAATCCATTATTGAATTGGCTTAATATTTCAATTCCATGTTCACCAGCTAATAAACATAATCCTGTAACATATTTCCAAAATTCACCAGTATGTCTTAAATAGTCGGAGACCAGTGTTTCTTCAAATTTGATGACTTCAGTATAATTAATATCATTGATATGTAGGCCAGTTAAATATAGAAGATTTGAAGACAGTGATCGTTCATAGGGCCATTCATTCAGTCGATTTTTCTTACATCTTTTACATTGACATGTATCATCATCCTTACTAAAAGAAATTACAAATAATTTTAAATTGGAAAGGTAAAATCAAGGATCTATTACCAGTATCTAACTCCTTGGAATGGTATTTCTTTGCCATTTTTGTCATATGGATGCAACTTCCAAACCATAAATTCTACTGTAGCAGGAAAAATACCGATAAAATCATCAGTTTCATTGTTCTTGGATATTGTTTCCGTCATAATTTTATGAAAAAAGTTTATCTAAAACGAAGAGACAAACACATCATCTACGGTTAAATTGAGTGAATAGCACTACAAAAAAAAAAAGAAATATTCGAATAAATATAAAAAAATGTGTTGTATTGGATTTTAGCCGTTTTTTAATTTCAAATGAAAACATTCAATCTTATAATTATAAACCGATTGAATACGTTCACCTATCATTCGACAACGTTCTTGAATTAAATCGATCANGAAAACATTCAATCTTATAATTATAAACCGATTGAATACGTTCACCTATCATTCGACAACGTTCTTGAATTAAATCGATCATTTTTAATGGTAATATTGTGAAATCAAGTGCATTATGATGAATAGAATACATTTTATTAACTTCATTGTCATAATTCAATCTAGCTCTAGTTCTTTGTTCTTCAGCTGTTTGTAAACTTAACAAACAAGTAACGCGGCGTAAGCGCCGCTGACCCTCTACTGAAAGTATAGAATATTTTAAAAGCACTATAGCAAGGTTATTTCCAGAGTCTTATAATTTAACCTACTGATCTCTCCATTGGATGATCATTGGTCAAAAACGTGGTTCTAAAAACGCAGATATGATCATTGTCATGCACTAACTACGCTTTAGCTTTCTTCGTACCACAACCTAGAGCGCACATTAAAAGATAATTTTTAATCAGCTCTATCCTCACCCGTTCAAGAGTCCTAACTAAACAGACCTTATTGATATAGCATTATTCAATTGGTTTCTGTGGTCCGAGAGTTGGTTTTCACCAATATTATGTTCAACGGTTAGTCGTTCCTCGGCGCCCCTCCAGGGTGCCACTCACGGCTAGCCGCCGCCATTGTTTGTTACACTGAACGAAAAATAACAGCACTCAAAATTTCAATAAACTAATCACGGATTCGGATTGCTCGACCACAGAAACTTTCGGTCAAACTTTATTCGTTCTTACCGCCAGACAGGTCAAAGAAACATTGTTTTTGTTCAGTGCAAACGAACACACGGACACACACACGAACGAACGTAACAACTCATTTCGGCGTAAGACCCTCCTTTCAGTAGAGGAAATACAACGATTATTATTGCATTTAAAATATCGCATTTCGATGCGATCTTTCTTATTTATCTCAATAACATCTCAGTCTATTTTTGATTCGTAAGATTTATGAATAAAACTCTCCAGGATAACAAGCGCTTCTTAAGGTTTCCAAGTATGCATGTACATATTGATATTCAGAAATAGCCTGATGTTACTATTCATGTCATTTAGTTTTTGTTTCAATCTCATTAAAGATATAAAGAAAGAGAACGAAGGACATAAGAGGTTTATCATCGGGAAATTTTTTTTTGATTTTTTGCTGGGGAATTGAGAGTGCCTTTTCGGGAAAATGAAATACTCTTATTCAACTTTTCAAGCTCTTTCGAATGATGTACTTTTTAACGAACCGACAGGAAGTCAAAATTTTTCGATCGGTTGATGTATTTCTTTTAATGAATAGTTTTTTTTTGGAAAATGAATCTTAACAATAGATATTTTGTTGACCTGTGTTACCGAAATCAAAGGACAAGATAGGCGAACATGTCGAATGGAGTTTTTCTACACTCTAAAAATAGCTAATCTCAGAAACTCAAAGAGGATTTCCGATTTTGCTACTATCGGAAAATTATTAACGGTTTCTGAGCTCACCAAAATCTTATTAATGCTTCTTACACATAATACTCAAACAACGAGTAAAACGTTTCCAAATCATGCGAAACGTGACAATAATGTCACTCTGCATCGTAGTGAATAATCCAATCGCAGTTTCAACTAGTCATTATTGAATACATTGAGAAGCAGTGAGTCATTATTCAAATAAAAGATTGAATGAAGCCTCTGCACGAATATAAATATAAAAATCAATTAGTTGATTGATTTATTTAAGTAGAAGGTATCATAAAACTCAATTTTGAGTGGAATGTAAACATAAAAAACAATTATAGTAGATTATGTCAAATAAATTTTAGTAGGAAATCCGATTTCGAGTTGAATGTAAACATAAAAAGCAGTTAATGTTACGTCAAATAGAAAGTGTCATAAAACTTGATTTATTTAAGTAGAAGGATCATAAAACTCAATTTTGAGTGGAATGTAAACATAAAAAACAATTATAGTAGATTCCCGGGCAGATGAAAATTTTAACTCTATGAATCTTTTCAGCGTTAAAGGAGAGATTTTCCACGACGGCGCTCACGCAGAAAAAAACATTTTTCATAATGTTCCACTTTTTTATAACGTTTTTGGCTGCTAATCGGGAACCTCGACTGGCAATGAAACACCATACAAAAAAACAAACGTGAAAACGACAAATAAAGTGACCCGCGAGATTTTTCGTCGTGAACACGCTTTGAAAACAGAAGAGGTTACTGATCGTGATTTCCAAATCGCGTATGGCTGCCAATTGGGGACGTCGAGTAGCAACCACACGGGATCAACAAAAACGAACGTGAAAAAGGTGATGACACCAAGGTATAGAATTATTCAACAGACAGAACTTTAAAAATTTCCAGCATTTAGTTGTCGCTCTCTTCAAGCGATCTCTGGATGCACATATGCTGTTGGATCTAAACAGAAATAAAAGAATGATCTGCTTTTTAATTGAACAATTGAACTCACCATCACTATTTCTTCAAATGCTGTTGGATCTAAATAGAAATAAAATAATTGATCAATTG